TTATTAATCAGGTGAACACGTGAATTGTAAATTGTGTCTGTCGGATGAAAATAATAAGCCGAAATTCTAGGGCCATAAAGAACTCAATGAGACCTTTGAAAAGAGGTATGACACGACCCCTATCCCCTATTCAAATTTGGGGGGTTGTTCTCCCCCTAGCTAAGGTATTGAAGCTACGGGGATAGAAAAAAATGAAAAATATTTCACCCTCAAATCAAAAATCGGCTTGTCCGAACGTTTTTCCCGATTTTCATTTCAAATCGAAAAAATCGCGGTGGACTGTTTTCCCAGGGACACCCTGTAGGTCTATATTTATTACGCAAAGACGCCACCGCCAAACAATATTAGCTGCTTTTTTTCTACACACCTATTTTAGCTAACCTAAGTTGTTCTGAATAAAGGACCGTTTTTTCTAACATCTTAGGTAAGTTTAAGTCAGTCGAAATGGTCGAAATTACCTCCCCCCTTGCCTACGCTAAGGATGCCGAATTCCATCCTTAGTTCAATTTCTTACCTGAGGTAATGTTTATTTGAGGTTAGATCCTTCGTCCATCTAATATGTACGTTTGAACTACAACTTAGCTCAGCTAAGATTTTCAAAGTTAGCTAAGATAAGACCGTGTGCAGAAAAAAGCAGCTATTATTATTATCTTGAAATGAATAATTGAAGTGAGATGCGAGCCGACTGTTATCTGTTATCGTCCTGAATTTAAGTGTAGAGCTGGGCATACTACCCTAAACTAACTTGTAGCTCTTTGCTTTGATTTTTCGTATAATGGTTCAAGAAATAAAAACGTCTCGAAAAACGTAATAATAAAGAGGATACATTGAAATTTTAAGGATCGTTACGCGCTTCTCGCGCCGCCCCTAAGATTTTGCCGCCCGGTGCTACTGCACCCAAAAGACCCCTGGTTAAACCGGCCCTGATAAAATATTTGAAAGATCCACAAATTAGATTAATATGGATTAAAATAGCAAAAATATATGCAGACAAAATTGATAAAATGTTTGATTAATTAACAAAACTGACACTTCTGAACGCCACTTTCCCGCACTAGTACGGGAAAGTAACATTTTCGGAACTAAAATGCGTGCGGGAAAGTGATAAAAAATGCACGCTCGTAGAAAAAATGTTTTTATTTGCTAAATACATAGGTTTTATAAGTCTGCGTTCATGATAACAACTTTATTGTTCAATGAACCTCATATTGCATTGATTTTTATATTTTATTGACAAATAAAATTCAGTTTTGAAAACATTGTTATAAATTGTCTATTTTCAAAAAGCCCAAAAAATTCTCTGGTAAAGTACGTACTTGATTCTCAAGAGATTTAATTTGTTTTATGTCATACCAATACATCATTGTGTTTTTATACCTTAGATACCATCTACATAATTCATTACTTTATGCCCGTGCGGGCATAAAGTACACATTATGGCCCGCGGGGGCATAAAGACACAAAAAACAGTTTTCGATTAACTTATTCTTTATTAAAAAAATATAAATTTACGCTTATAAACCTATAATTTTTTGTACAACTGTCAAAAAATGATGATGTTAGCACACTGATGACAATTTGCGAAGGGACACTTGGTATGACTGCGAAGTGACAACTAGTATGACATAAAAGTTTGTATGCACCACGGTTACTAATAGATATATACTCTCGGGCGACTTACGAACCCTCGGGCCAGAGGCCCTCGGCTTTGTAAGAGTGTCGCCCTCAGGGCATAATCATCTACTTAGTACCCTTGATACATAAATAACTATTATGTCATACCAATACATTATTGTGTTTTTATACCTTAGATACCATCTACATAATCCATTACTTTATGCCCGTGCGGGCATAAAGTACACATTATGGCCCGCGCGGGCATAAAGACGCAAAAAACAGTTTTCAATTAACTTATTCTTCATTAACAAAATATAAATTTACGCTTATAAACATATTATTTTTGTCAAAAAATGATGTTTGCACACTGATGACAATTTGCGAAGTGTCACATTTTTCCCAGGTATTTATTATTCACAACCAACTGGTATGACATAAAAGTTTGTATGCACCACGGGTACTAATAGATATATATACCCTCGGGCGACTTACGAACCCTCGGGCCAGAGGCCCTCGGCTTTGTAAGACTGTCGCCCTCAGGGCATAATCATCTACTTAGTACCCTTGATACATAAATAACTATTATAATATGCCAGGGTGATTATATGACCTAGAAGCCTAGTTATTTAAGTGTGCTAGAATTCTATCAAATTACTTTTTAAAAATAATAACAAACACTAGTAGTTTACCGACAATTCACAACCCCAGGACCTATTATTTCCCTTTAATTTCAATTTAGATTTTATCCGAAGGCAAACACTAACTTCCTGTCAAAACAAAAAACAATACCTATGTATTAAATATTGAATGAATACCGTCATGGAATAAGACGTGCCAATTTAGCTTAATAAAAACGTCATTGGCAAAATTAAATCGCAGTGAGGTCCGGCCCGTATGACTTCTTAAAACAGCATTAAAAAGTCGTAATAAATTCAAGCACGTACGTCCATTACTCAATTATATCATCAGGTTCAATTATTTCAGGAAGCAAATACTAAATTGAAAGGTAAAGCGAATGTAGGTGTCTTAATTTATTTACAGAGTTTTAACTAGAAGGTATACCTACCAATTATGTTATTATAACAGGGTGTCAATTCGTAGACTTCTTAATACAGAGAGTAGGTACGTCAGAAGTCTCTAAACATTTTATCTTAAATCGCTAACCAATTGCTTTTTTTTCATATCCAGGAATATTTTGAATAGAAAACGGAACCTACCTTTCTTTTTTGCCACGGCTGGAAAGAAGGCGTATGAAAATTTCTATCGAGAATCTTGAAAATCAGGTACTGGCATTCAAGACAACAGAGATCTGACGAATTTGATAAACCGGGAATTGTTGCTGATGAAGAACTTGCGGTCATAGCATATTCAGGTTAGGCAACATCTTCAATCTGAAGACCAACACAACTTGGTGAGAGCAAATGACAATGAAAATTCCAGCATGGAAAATGAAATGAGATGGAATATTTGATCAGAAGGAAAAATACAACAGCCTGATGTTTGTGGAAAATACAATTACATGGCAGGAAGTTTCCACTTGAATATGTGTCAACAGTTATTGAGCCCTAACTGGAACCGGATGGCATTTTTCCGTTTCCTATTTGGTTACCGCTACATGGAGCGCTAAACCTTTAGGACTTGTAAAACTATGTCTGGCATCGCGTTTCCTATTAGGCTAGCGCACATTGTCTACCGCTACATGGCGCGTTACTCCTATAGGACTTGTTAAAGTATATCCGAAGTCGCGTTTTCTATTAGACCAGCGCACATAATGTTACATGTTACGTGACCTTTGACATTGGGTTGGTTTTTAATAATAAACAATAAAACAACTTGCAGGAAGAAATTAACTTTTTTTGTAGCAGCCAAATTCTTTCCAGCGGTAATTAAAAAAAACTTATGAAAAACTGTTTCATAGTTGCAGGCAAGCATTTTGCCGCGGTAGAAAATATACTCATAATAATAAGTGTTTTCACTATAACAGGAAAAAAATATTAGTGGTCGCAAAGAACTTAACTGTTACAACCAAGAGACTTTTTGCTAACTTAGTAAAGTGCGTTCTATTACTAGAATAAGATGGTTTTGCAATTACAGCTAAAATTTCTGCTAGATAGCCGAAAATACATTAGTAGATAATTTTTGGCTAGAGGATTTCTCAGTGCAGAATCAACAGAAATAATAAAACGAGACACAGCGAGAAATATTACAAAATCATTGCATCACCTGTAAACACCAATTAACCTCAAAAAATGACAATGTAATTGAAATGGATTGCAGTGCAATGTGCAATGAATGTCTGCAGACGATCGCAGAGGGGGTGCGCTGGTCTAATAGGAAACGCGACGTCAAATATAATTTAACAAGTCCTATATGATTAGCGCTCCATGTAACGGTAGACAATGTGCGCTGGCCTAATAGGAAATGCGATGCCAGATATAATTTTACAAGTCCTAAAGGGTTAGCGCTCTGTGTAGCGGTAACCAAATAGGAAACGGAAAAATGCAACCGGATGAGGTAAAAGTATAAAAGCTGTTCTCCAACAAAAAGGTACACCTCCGAATTTTAAAGAATCGAGCATCACTACTTAATGGACAAATCATTTCCTGTAGATATTTGTAATTTTAATTTGCCAAATAAAGTGGTTTATCACAAATATCATTTGGATTTTGAAATAGCATAGCATTCCTCAAAAGAACACATTATTTTTCTTGGTCATTATAAATTTAGAGTAAGAAGTTAATGACGAAACAACAGAAAAAAATGGAATTTCTGAGCAACCTCAAAAAAAATTGAAAACAAAAATACAAACCAGGGTAGAAAATCAAACTTATTCTGTACGTAGGTATAGTAATGTTAAATAAACTCTCCAGTTATTCCAATCTATTATTTTATTTAAATTCATTTATCAACTTTAAGGAAGCCCTAAATAAATAAATTGACTACCTGTATAGAGAATGATCCAACATCCACTATGAGCTTATAACTCAACTGTATCAAAGTACAAAAAAAACTTGCCCAAATTATTTGCAAAATTTACCTGCTCAAAACAAGTATTGCTTCTTGCAGATTAGGTTTTTTGAATCTAATTTCAAAAAAAAAAAAAAACTGGCGTTTCTGGTCAAATCAAGTCTTTCGAAAACAGGTGATCAATACTACCAGATTTTTACCAGGACAAAAACATAATTGGTAAACAAGTTTTTAAAAAACAAGGTACATAAATGAACCTGCATTTATTGAAACCGCAATCAATAAAAATATGATTGAATACTTACCTAAAAAACCAAATAAAAAAACTTGCGTATTTTAGAAACCTAGGTACATTGTCACTACCAAAAAAATTCCCTAAATAAGCTCTTCATCAGTTTTATTCAAATCGAACTCACCTATAATCTAAATCCATTGCAGTGAATACATAGGCGATATGAGCCATCGAATGTAAAACTACAGCCACACATACTAAAGAAAATACAAAAATTTGATATCTTCCAAAATCCCCTAACTTAATCAAAATCGCGTCCAGCGAATTGTCTATAACGTCCGGCTTTTTAACAGTCATTTTAAAAAATCATCGATTAACTTATTAATTGAGAACTTTTTTAGGTACCGAGCCCGACACGAATCTTGACTGGACTAGTACCATTTTCAGTCGGCCAACCTCTATATATATAATTTTTCAACTCAGGTACTACAGCAACTATAGCGTATAATGTTTATGTGGCTTATTATTCACTTTTTATGCCAATGGCAAGGGTGATAAGATTGACTGAAATATGTAGATAGATAAAAAACACTTTTCTGTTTTACCATTGTTACGCATAAATTACGGTGCATCGTCAAACAATTTGCTTTTCAGGAATATTTAATATTTATAGGTATTTTTTTGCATGGTTATTTCAAAACCTTGCGCTAACGGCCCCCCTTTTATGATTTGTGAATATGAAATAATTTCTGAAACTTGTCATTTTTATAAATTCTTCAATATTAGCCAAGTACTATAGATCCTTATAGGTTCTGCTCAAAATATGAGATGTGTTTTTGCCCTGGTTATACAGAACAGCAAAAATTGAAAAAGCCACCCCTTTATATTAGGCTCAGTAGCATTCACTATGGCTTAAATGGAACCAGGCAGCTTTCCAAAGAAGAACAATATTTCAAGATAATTTAAACACAAAATCAGGTAGGAATTTATCTATGTATAATAAATTTATAGTAGGTATGTACCTAGTTAGAGTGCCTAAATAACTGATCTATCATGGATCTATCAGACTACCTTTACACTACAAAGAGCATAATGATACAATAAAAAAAAAACATTGTTCAAGAAAACCCAAGGACCGATTGATAAAACTAATAATAAACTACCGGTGTTTGGCCTAATCATATGTCGACGATTCAAAAAAAATTGCTTCCATCAAAAATTAAAGCAATTTTTATTGAGTTCTTCCTAATTTTAATCCTTTGTTGAGTTATCATTATTAAATTGTGTGCGATTCGGGATTTTTTATTGTACCTTTTGAATTTAGCACACCTGTGTGCTTGCAATCAAATTACATTTTTAGCATTCCAAAGCAATATTCTCAACCGTCCAACTTTTAGATAGCTACCTTATATTCACCTTGTAGAAATAAAAAAAAAAGACGAAATAAATTTCTCTTACATAAAACTGTAAGATTGGCAATTCAATTTTAATTTTTATAAAAAAAAAATCAAATACCTACTTAATTAAAAGTAACGCTATCTATTCAACTGTAAATAACCTATTATTAAAAAATAAAAAAAAAATTGTAATTATTATTTGTCTATTTATTTTCCTGTTGTTCAGATTTTCCTTGTTTGGATCAATTTCACTTGTTGCAATGTCGTAACTTTTATTCCGCGAACTCATTTTTTTTTTCTCAGCCTTGTCCCTTACCTTCATGAGCGACATTGGAAATTAAGTATTCCTTGCGCGAAAGAAAAGGTCATTACAATATTTTTATTGATTTTATATTTTGCGTACCATATAAACATGGTCAATCATTTGTTTTCATGTTTATTTACTTGAAATCCCTCAAGATATACTTAGGTAGGTACCTATATTATTATTAGGTACTCGCCATTGCAGAAAATTTGGAACAACGAAAAAATAAAAGTAAATAACAAAAAATAACAGCTGCTTCATTTAGCAAGTTAAACCTTTTTTGATTTTCCATCGCACCTCAAGTGTTAGATTTGAAAAAAATATCGTTTTTCTAATGTGGCACATTTTATCTTAGCAGGTACGTACCGACGCCAACGTACCCGAATTTGATCCCAACCATTTCAGTTTCGCGATCTGGGTTTTATTCTTGAAACAGAGGAACAGTGATCCGAGAATGAGTGTTCCGTCTTTTTCAATGATATGCAAATGATAATATAAGTAACAAAGAAGGAACACTCGTTCTCCTGGGAACGCAGCTAGCCTGTTTCAAGAATAAGAACTTCTTCGTAGGTACTCCTTTTCATTAGGCGTACAGGGTTTTTGCGTATATCGTGACCCCAGGGTTTTCTCGTATATTTTTGCACCCCATCTGCAGCCTGCCAGGTAGATGAGGTGTAAATACGAAAGTTGTGCAGTTTTAGCTAAATTTTTAGAATCCAACGTCAGAAACAGAAATTTATTTTCAGAAATTTGAAATTTTGCGTACTTTCAACTTTTTTCAAATGGAATGCCCTATATTTGATTCCATATTCTTGAAGCGCACAATTTACCGATTCAAAAAATATATAGTTTGTCTATATTTGGTTAAACTGTCTGCAACATATTTGGCTATAAAAATTGTAAAAATACTAGCATACTTCCACATTATGTGAGCCATTTTACCTGTCAAGGTGACAAATTTTACCTGCAAATTTGAGATACTTGATTTCTCTGATAGTAATCTTTAGAGCCCAAATATGTTGGAGACGCTTCAACCAAATATAGACAAACTTTATATTTTTGGAATCGGAAAATTGTGCTTTTCAAGAATATAAAATCAAATATAGGGTATTTTATTTGAAAAAAGTTGAATGTAGGTAGGTACGCAAAATTTCAAATTTCTGAAAATAAATTTTTGTTTCTTAGGCCCGTCGCACATGGAGCTACCTATAAACGACGAGACTGAGTAGAGACGCCAGTCACAAATTAGTTGGATACTCAATTCTCGTACACGAGAAGACGGGACGAAGATCGAAAATAAACGCGTTTGTTCAGTGTAGTGTATGCAAAATGTCGAGCAATGAGGAGGAAGAAGTTACTTCATATTAATATAATCGAAGATACAGGCGCAGAATCAGGAGATTGTGGGTTCATCCATGACGTTCATCCATCCGTAGAAAGAAATAAAAATTGTAGAATGTTTGTAGCTGCTATGGAACTACATGTAAATGACAAAAAATTCCAGTTTTTCTATCGTATGAGCAAAAAAAACTATATTCTTCTAGTTGTATAAACACCAGGCGCGGCTCTTCTGTAAGGTCATTCGGTCAATGACCCACCAAAAAATCAAACAATAAATTTTCAATTAAACATCTTGAATATTACGTTTTAAATTAACCAAGATCACGCTCAACAGAATACAGAAATCGAATTATCTTGCGCATATTGGGTACCCACCTTTTAAAATTACAAAATACAGGCCTAGCTGCGCTCGGCCGTATTTAAAATTGGGCTTATAGCTTTGGAATGATCATAGGCGAATGCAATAGGAATCAGAGAGAGAGATACATAACGTGCGTAAATGAGTAAGATAAAGAGGCACATTTGCTTCAAATCAAATCAAAATATACCTTATTGTCTGAAATAAAATTTCATTGACAAAGCATGCTTAAGGTCTAATTAGTATTAAAATAAAATAAATATTGTATAAAGATATTTAGTCCTAATTCAACAAGCTACAAAAAATAAAATAAAACAAAAACAAAAACAAAAATAAAAATGGAAGGATAAAATTATTATAATAAAGGTGAAATATAAAAAATGGAAGAATAATATTAATATTAAAATTAAAATCGTTCATTGAAATAGTCGTTCAGTTTGTAATAGGCTTTACTACACAAAAAAGTTTTCACCGCAAACCTAAATTTTTTAAGAAATGCAATTTGCCTTAAGTTTGCTGGAAGATGATTAAAAATCTGTCTACTTTTAAAAATTATAGAGTTTCGGGTCAGTGCTGATTTTGGGATAGGTGTTCGAATCTGCAATCGTTGCCTAGTTGCATAAGTCATTGGATTGTTTAGATTGCTGTAGTGGTATTTGTGCATTAGGCAGGCTGACTCAAGGATAAATAAGCAGCAAACTGTTAAAATGTTATGCTGGATGAAAAGTGGCTTACAGTGATGTTGGTATCCAACCCTACACAAATACCTTATCGCTCGTTTCTGAAGAACAAAAACAGACTCGAACAGCCCATCCGAGCAATTACCCCAGAATGAAATGGCATATCTAATGTGTGATTCCACCAGCGAAAAGTAAACCAATTTTGCAGTATCCAAACCTAGTTCATTCACCACTATTCTAACTGCGTAGCAGCCACTGGCCAATTTATTATTCAAGATTTTGACATGCTCATTAAACTTAAGATGGTTGTCCACATGGATGCCCAAGAACCTACAGCTTGTTTTGTTTTCAATTGGCTGTGATTCCAAAACCAAATCATTAAAAGTGAATTTGAAAGTTACTACATTGGTTTTCTTGGTGTTAAAACAAAGTAAGTTTGCGTCACACCATTCCTTGACGAGCCTCAGATCCTCTGATATAACTTTCTTTAAATCATCAACATTCTTTCCCCGCCAAGTTAAGGTGTTATCATCAGCAAAAGAAGTAAGTTTAGCTCTGATGGGTAGATAACTTATGTCTTTCAGGAACATTAGAAATAAAACTGGACCCAATACTGACCCCTGAGGAACGCCAGATTTTAATGGCAACAGAGATGACTCTTCACCGCCTATCCTAACCCATTGCTCCCTCCCTTCAAAGTAGGATTCAAACCACAAGTATGCGATCTCTCTAAAACCATATTTTTCTAGCTTACGAAGCATTATGTTATGATTGACACAATCAAATGCCTTAGAGAAATCGCAAAAGACCGTTGCCACAGCTTCGTTTTCATTTAAGCCTGTATAAATTTCCTCAAAAACATTGAACATTGCATCTTGAGTGTTTTTAGTGGGCAAGAATCCGAACTGTGTGCTACTTATTATGTTATGTTGGGAAAAGTACATCAACATTCTCCTCTTAACCAATTTCTCAACGATTTTTGATAGAGTTGACAGTAATGATATTGGCCGATAGTTTGATGGCTCACTTAGTTCACCACCCTTGTGTAAAGGAATAACTAAGTATAGCTTTTTTAAGGTAATTTGGAAACACTCCAGTCAAAAAGGAAACATTGATACACTCGGCCAGAACATAGAGTGCATTATTTTTTTTTTTTTTTTTTTTTTTACGGATATGCGCACTCGCAAGGAAATGTCCTATCACGCTCGAGAAGCGGCAAGTGCGCGGAAATGTCGGTGTATGTTGGTCTTGAAACGGTTCAGGTTGTAACCTGCAGGGAAAACCGTCGCAGGGAGTTTATTCCACAGCGATGCTGTTCTCCAGAGATATGAATTCTGATATAATG